GCCCTAATCCTCTTCTGTTCTGGCAGGTTTATGTTTTATTGGAGAAATGCTTTATCTGGTCTGTGAACAGGGTTCCTGTTAAAACGTGGGAGTGTTTACTTTAATCAATGGGGGGAACTTTCATCATCTTATTACTGGGTGTAGAAGCTTCAATTGTGCCCCTTTTTAAATTGGCAGAAATTAAAGTTCCTCTAGTTGAACTGAAATTCTTTTTTCCTCAAATAAAAAAACAAAAAAACTGTTTTATATCCAATCTGACACATGGACCTCAAGTAAAAATTAAACCCAGAGGAAACTACTGCATCTTGGGAAAGTATGCACTCAACTTTGATCAGATTATGTGAGATTGAAGCCGCATACTTGGCTGTATTTACTTGTTTAATGGTTTTGTTATACACAAACATAAATTACAGAAGTAGTAGGAACATCAGATATGGTTTCTCAAATAGCTTTTATCAAATGCTGTGAAACGTGTGATGGGCGCTGGATTATCACTCACTGAATTCTATGTAGTCGAGATGGATAATTTTGCTTAATTTTTAAGTCCTGCCAGAGAATTATAGATTTGATTATTAAACATTATAACTAATGAATACAATTTGATGTAAACCCCTGCAGTTTAGGCTGTTTTTCTCGGAATATTCTCTTTATATCCATTCAACTCTGTCTATTGTAATATAAAATTAATATATTCTCTCTACTTTAATGATGCACATCAAAATCTCAATAAAATAAGCCGAGGCTTGTGTTTGGAAAGTTGCAGAATGCGAATGCATGGTTTCATGTGACCGTGCACGGCTGGAGCAGGTGCACCTTAGCCAGAGGCAACAAGACGGGCCTTTCACTGCCCAACATGGATGGATGGGTTCACTTTTTGCCCCTCTTGTCAATGCACGGGGGGCGGGGGAAAGCAAAACCCACCCACCTGTAATCCCTCACCAGGAGGCACACAGATGAGATTGTAAAAGAAACGACACACATAGATGAAGTTTGAGTCAAAGAGGAGCACAGTTTCTCTTGGCTGTGATATCAGACTGAGCTGCCCACGTGAAACAGACAAGGTATGCATCTCAGACATGACGTGGGTGTGGAGATGGAGTGACACGTTTAGTCAATCTCCATTCAGATACGGTCGGCCTTCTTGATTGAATAAACTTCTCTCTATCAGAGAAAATTATAGAAAACAGAGTTGTGCCAAATTCCTGGAAGGCTATCATTCCTAGAAGGCATTCAAGTTGGTAAAAATCAGTTCAGGGCTAAAAGCTTGGGAAACTTTTTGTTTCATACTGAGGCTTTCATACTGAAAATGTCTGTAGGAGGGCTTTTTTATGAAAGAGAGTGAAGGTTTATTCAGGGAGAGATGTATGAATAAACCTTATCCTGCCTCTATGGCGCAGGACTTTAAGCAGGTGTGTTTATTTCCGTTTCAGGCTGTTTACACCGTGATCCTTACAAAAGAGCTCTGTCCTCATCTCAGGCCTTAAATATGGGAGGTCCAAAAGGTCATGAGAATCAACTCTTTAAGTAGAAAACATTACCTTAATCATCTCTACTGACTTTTTGATGATTTGATATAGGTTTTAAAATGTGTATGCTGCCACAATGGATACAGTTTAAAGCTTAAAATCAGAGTTTTTTTTATTGATTTAAGGAACTGAACCAGATGTTGCTCCACAGAGGGTGGAGTTACCTGTCTGACTGTAACCTTGTTCTGAAGTCCGCAGTGGAAATGGCCACATGAAATGGTTTCTTTGAATAAGAAAACTTTCCAACAATTAGTTAAGAGGTTTTCTTCTAGGCGTAATAGTAGAAATGCACTTTATTTATTTTTTTGTTAAACTTTTTTTTATCACGGTGTGATAAATACTGGATCTGATTGGCTGCAGGATGTCAGGCTGGATTATTCTGAATTATTAAGGTGAGGGTTTGTGGCCAGAGCTGGTTTCCCTGGCAACTCGGCACAACAAGAGATGGTGGATAATCAACTCAGCTGCGTGTTGTAAACTCACATTTTCAACGATAATATAATTAATTAGCATATTATTAATTGATTTATTTCTTATTTCATAAGCGAGACAATCTTTCTTAAGATGTTTGTTCTCACACCTTGTTGGGAGTTAGAATAGTATTTATGGGGTTAAAATCAATTACTGTGTCTTTAATAAGATAAATTACATTTTTATTGTTAAACAATATGACAATTTCCAGTCCGAGGGGTTATACTATATTAAATAAAACGTATATAATGTTCTGTAAAGGGTGTGATTTAATCTAGCATATTAAATTAACTATTTGTAGAACCCCAAAATCCTTTTAAAACGGGGTTAAATGTGTTGCTATTCATTCCCTGAAGAAAAGAAAAGAAAGGGGAAGGAATCTAACGAACCAAGCTGGCACTTCTCAGTTTGATGATCTGATTTTTCTTGCCTTTATAACGCTCCGTCTGCTGCAGGAAATGGGATTTTTTTTAATAGCTGTCAGCCAATCCATTGGGTTTTACCAGGCTCTGTAGGAAAACTTAACCTCCAACACACACAGAAGAAATCCTGTGACGTTTTTAGCAATGAGGAAGGTGTGGACTGAGCAGATCTTCACACACTTCTCCTTTTTATGACGTTTCTTTATGTTCCTTATCCTGCAGGAAGTGGAGCTTTGTAGCTAAACTCCTTCAGTCTCCTTCACACTTGTATGGAGAGAGCTGTCATGTTAGAAAATGCATGCAGACTGCCCCGAAGAGGCTGAGAGCCCGACCTTTAGCATATGGGTGTGCGCTTTGACCAGCTGCGGCCCTCCACCTCTGCCCTCGGCAACAGCAGCCCAGTGCGGAAGGTTACACCCACCAAACAGCCCAGAGAGCATTCAGAAGCTGGGCTTCTGGGAGAATGGATCCCACTTACTGTTCGAAGGGTTAAAAATGACGTTAAACAGATTTTCACATCTCTCCTTCCCAAGATTACCCCTGAAAAGAGCTAAAACTTTTACTCTTAAGTGTGAGCATGGTGCTGTTGAGATCATGTTCACAGCAGAACCACAAGCTCTGATCTGGGAAAGCAATAAATCAGAATCGGATCCCAGTTCATTTATTTTTTGGGGTGTGTCTCGTCTGTATTAGTGTGTTGTATCCTGTTTTGATGAGGGCTGTGTCTTTGTGTGAAGGGTTTCACTTTGTGGTGATTATTTTTGGCTGTGAGTGCGATTAACTGTGTCGGCATCACTGGTATGTTTATTTGTAGGCAGTTAAATCTTTTTCTTTTTCTGGCCAGCAGTTCTCAGGCCTTTTTAAAAAGAGGCATTGGTCTCTTTTAAAGAAGGGAAATGAATTTTGCAGGTCTTTGATAAGAACATCTGCAGACTCCAGTCAACCTGATCTGGTTCCGCTCTCCTGAATTAATGGTTCTTTATGAACCTGATGACACAGTGACAAAGTAACTAGCTTTTGGAGCAGATCCACTTCTAAAACATGCAGGATTGAAGCTCTTGAAGAACAGCGTTGACGACCCCTATCTAAAGCCTTGCTCTGATTGTGCTTTACTTGCAACTAGTTATGCACTCGCATGGAAATCTGGGCCAATTGCGATTGAGGTTTTTGTCAGTTTTATATATTTTTCCCACCCTTTTTGTAACTGGTCAGTGCAGAGCGGGCAGGAAACGGGCAGTGCCAAGACAGGAAACGCGACCGAATAGCTGTACCCTCCTTCCACCCCCACCTACAGCTCCTCCACCCCGCTAAGAGTTCTCCACATTCGCCATGCCTCAGCATTTACAGTGCTTCTGCATTCACACATCGCCTCATGTTTCCTGTTTTCCTTCCTCCCAGCCTCCCTTTACTAGTCGCTTGTCACCCTTCAGCGTGCAGCAGCTGGCCAGTTCTCACCCGGAGCTTTCCCCTCATGCAGCAGCTGTAAAAGAAGCCAGGTCTGTTTCCTCAACAGAGAAAATCACTCCTATTCTTACAACCTGCTCAGTTTTGTCCCTGCAAAACCATGAGAGGAAAAAAGTGAGAGTATTTTGTGAATCAGGGTGATGGTTAACCCTTTTCTTTTTCCATTTCCTGCTTCAACGATCAATAGCAGAATATTGCATCCCTACATTATTTTTGTTGTAATATTCAGGCATCTGGAAGGATCATGGATGTAGCTTTATCAGGTCTCTGTTTGATGGAGAGTTCTGTCTGGCCCTACGAACACAGATTCCTCTAAAGCACGGTTCAATTGGTTGCAACGAGTCTGAGTCAAATCAAAGTATTTTCTGAGGTGTTAAGATGGTTATAGCAGGAAAAACAAAACTAATATTAATTGTTTGGATTAATTCTTTTTACTGAAAAACTAATAAAATCTGTTTCTGTTGGTATCTAGCTAACAGGAATCAGCTGTTTTACAACAACAAAAAAACAACTGCACCATCAGGTGCTGAAATGTTTTAACTCTTGCCTATATATAAATTAATTTATAGCATTTATTTCTTGTTTTATGCATCGATTTAAGCAAAAATACTGAATGAAAACCTGCTTATGTGAGATAGGCCAAATTTCTTTCTTGCCAAATAAACCTTTGTTGGCATAGTTTTAGAAGAAAAAAGTTAGCAGACATGCTTTCCGTATACTTTTTACATGGCGGTATTATCAGCAGATAAAGTTGGTTACAGGGAGTGCATACGGAAGAACACTGCAGATCTTAGTCAGATATATCATGTTTGTTGCGGTTTTTAGTGGCTTATTTAAAGCAATACAGTTGCTCCTTTTAGACTGGGGAAGTCTTCTCCTTGATCTCAACCCTATCAGCAGCTGCAGAAACTAAGTGCATGAAAGGAATGTTAATTTGCTGCTCTTTACCTTAATGAAGGATCGCTCAATTTTTGTGCTTGGCTTACGGTGTCTCAGTGCAAAAAGTTTTCATGTTGCATAAAAAAATGTGGGTGCGATTCTATCTTCCTGCACTGGTACATGTTTGTGTGGTTAGGACCTGATCAGTTAACCCCAGGACGTCTACCGCTCTGCATTTACGTGTTTCTCTGTGTTTGGAGGCGGGGGGGTGGGGGGGCGTATTGTCCATTCTTCAACATTTACCTCCCATGACTTTAAATTAAAGGTCAAAGAAGGACACATGTTGTTCCTGGGAGTCAGGGAAGTGGCAGGTCTGCTCTGAATCCTAAAGCAAGCTATAATGTGAAATGTAGAAAACCTTTACTACAAAAAATTGAAATCTATGAAAGTCAATTTTATCCTAAAGTAATTACTTTTTTTTCTTGAAATGAACAAATAATTGAAAAAATTTGCCAAATGTAAGACGATGTAATCTTAAAATAAGAAAAAATATTTCAGTCTCCCATTTCAAGTAATTTCATATTTAATTATCTTATTTTAAGGTTAAAATACTTATTTCATTGGCAGAACATCTTATTTTCCTATTCAAATTGAGGGTAAATTCACTCATTTTTAAGACATCTGTACTAATTTTCAGATGGTTTTTGCAGTGTAATCACTGTGGTCAGACGAATCTTTATCGCGTGTTTCTAAAAGTCTTCAGACCAACACCTGAAGTCTCAGTATTAGAATTAGGCAAAAGAATTATAAATTCAAATATTTAATCAAAAAGTAGCTGCTCTATATCTGCTAAGCATGCTTAGTGTCTTGCTCCTCAGAGAATTCACTTCCCTATAATGGTGCTTTCTCAGGGTCTCAGGAGGCCTCCTCCACCCTCTCGTGAATTTAAATTAGTGAAAATCTCTGTGTTTTCTCTTCATTATTTCGTTCCTGTTAAGTATTTTTTTTACGATGGTGGCATTAGAGGCTCGTCTTTATCGTTGACATTAATATCAACAACAATGGGGAAGAAAAAATTTGTCTCTATTCTAGATTTTTTTATTATTTTTTTTCTCTTTTTTGGAAAAAAATTCCCAATAATTAAACTAATCGTAACATAAGATGATCTGTTTAAGTTCAAACATGACTTCAGAGCTCTTGCGTTAAGGGTCTTGCTCATGGACCCAGAGTGGCAGTCTGTGGGAGTTGGGCTCGAACTCATAACCTCAGGATTCCAAGCTCTATGCCCTAACCACTAGGTCGCCACTTCCCCTAAACATTAATGTAGAGCTTAACTTAGCATTGTGAGGTCTGCAGTACCTCAGATGTAGGCAACCTCCTGGATAAGTTTTCAGTTCCCTCCCAAAGTCCCAAAGTACCACTCTTAAGCCAGGCATACACTGTGCGTTTTTATTATTATTTATTTTAATCGTTGCATGCAGCTACAGCTCTCACTGTTCTATGAAATCGCAGCGTTTCATCGTACAGTGTGCGTTCACAGCTCATGATGCATGTTCAGCCCGACGCTCTGATCCGATCTACCTGCTCACACTGTGCGTCTAAAAATCACCTCGGACTCAGCTGCACAGTGAGATGGAGCTACTCAGACTCGTCGATCCGGAAGCCAAATAAGTAGAAGAGGAATATGAAGCTCACTAGAGTGAAACACACTGCCTTGGCAATTTGTGCAATTTTGTGCTGAAAGCCCTTAAAAGAAGAGGCGACGCCGTATTTGGACAAAGACATGGCTGAGGAAACGTTGCTACTAAGGTCTGTCAATTTTACAGAAAGAACTCCATTTGACTTGCCCCCTGCCATGCTGCTGTGTTTACATCTTAGAGGAAGAAGAAAAAGAAAAATCCTTGTTTGTGCATGCGCCCTGAGCGATTTGCCCTCACGATTCCTGATCGGGAGGTGGTTGTTGGAAGCTGATCGCCCCTCGTTACCCCTTGTAAACTACACCCAGCACAACACACAATCAGGCTGAAAGTCGGCCCGATCGGAAAATTCTCGCACGACTGGAAAATCGCAGCGAAAATCGCACAGTGTACGCCTGGCTTTACATGTTTTTTCCTTTTTTATCTGGAGTCTAGAAGTTACAAAGGAGCGTAACCTTTTCTACACTGACATTGGTGTATTTGTTTTTCATCCATTTATCCATTTTCAGTTCTCTTTCAGTTCTCTTTCAGTTCTTTAAAACCTCTTCATGCTGTCAGGCAGGTCCCATTTAGTTAACTGGCTGTAAACTTTTGTCATCAACCAGGTCTCTGTGTGGCTAATGAAAAATATTTTTATCTCTTAATTTAACAATGGGGAGCAAATGCTTGTTCACGTTTTCTAAATGCAGTAGTTTTTTAAAAACGCGTTTGCTCACTCTCTTAGGGAATCCTTGTCAGTTAATAAAATACTAAACAAGACCTTCTCACTGCACAACATGTGAGACTAACATGGAGAATCATATTAGCCTGAGGAATGGTTCCCCAACAGCAAAATAGCGGATGGCGACGTGAGTCAACAAGTGAGGCCTGTTTGATTTTTGCAGGCAGAGGACGCTTCCTCCTCTCTGTGAGCGCCGACCCTTCTGGGGACACAGTCAGGCTGCGATCAGCATATCAATGCAGGCTCCTCTTTTTTTTTTTTTTTTTTTTTCCCCCAATAGAGGGCTTAAGCAAACTTAAAATGCTTTCAGCACTATATCAATAACACTTTGTTTGAGAGCAAGACTGTGTCAAAAGATGTTTCTAGATGGCAGCCAGGGTGTCCGTGCTCAGCTGGTGAGGCATTGATTGAAAGCTGATCATGGCTGCAGAGTTAAATAAGGGAGCCTAAAGGAAAGGAGAGAAGGCTTTGTAGATATGGGTTCAGATTTATCGACATATTGGCCTCTATTGATCCAGCCTCTGGTTTCATTTGACACCGTTGAACCTAATGGGCTGGTGTTTGAGGTCGCTGGTTGCATAGGGGCTATTGATGCCAAGGAGTCGGCTCGGCCAACGCCAGGAGTCTCGGGCAGCTGGCCCTCCCATTC